TTTCCTCCCTCTGGTTTATCTAAAACTTTGATCCACCCTGGGAATGGATTTAACTAGTTGTCCTGAGAGCCAGGCAAACTTTTAAATGTTTCAGTTCCACTAAATAAAGACCATCTTCTGGGAATGTGGCCCCTTTCTCCTGGCATCTGGAGTAGGGAGCAACCACAAATTCACCGTGATCATCTTTTTTTTTTTTTTTTAAGATTTTATTTATTTATTCATGAGAGACATGGAGAGAGAGGCAGAGACAGGCAGAGGGAGAAGCAGGTTCCCTACGGGGAGCCAGATGTGGGACTCGATCCCAGGACCTGGGGATCATGCACGCCCGGAGCCAAAGACAGATGCTCAACCACTGAGCCACCCAGGCATCCCACCTTTATCATCTTTGACCCCAAACTCATTGGGGTAGTGTTTGGGCCTCTTTTCCTCCTGCCTAGAGGAAAGAGGAAACCAGGCTGAGTTATATCACCATAGCTGGCACCTGCCCAAGTCAGCCAGGGGATCCTGGGAACCAGCGCCCCACAGGTCGGGCCCATTGGTTTAATCCCATTGGTAACTTCTCCCTCTTATGACAGATGGCACCTGGGCTGTTTCAGACCATGGGTAACTCCATCTCCATGGCCCCCAGGAACCAAGGGCTCATCATCCCTCACCCCTCTCCCTTTTCCCCAAATAATGTTGTAGCCATATTTTAGGCCCCTTCTAGCAGTTCCACTGCCACCCCCCACCCTCTCTCTCTCTCTCTGTGTGTGTGTGTGTGTGTGTGTGTGTGTGTAGAAGTAAATTCAGCATGGGGGCGCCCGGCTGGCTCAATCGGTAGACTTGAGACTCAATCCCAGGACTACCCCATGCTCAGGTATTTGTCAGAAGGACTCATGGAGCTCAGTACATACTTGTACTCACTGCTGAGATTCCCTATAGCTACACGGCTGTTTGCATAGCTGGATCATAAGGGAAAAAGACAGAGTCACTGGAGGTTATGGGCAAGGTTCCTTGTGTCCTCTCCCTTCCCCGAGGGCTCATGCAGAGTGCACTCTTGCCCCAGCAACAAAAATATAGCAGCAGGTGTGTGATGTCCAGGGAAGCTCATCAGAGACTCAGCACGCCAGGGTTTCACCGGGGGTTAGTCATCGAGGCGCATCTGCCTGGCTCGTACCAAAATTCCAGACTCCCAGAACGACAGCAAGTGTTCAGCATAAGCCATACTCTGCACAAATAGCCTAAGTGCCACAGCCACCCTTGTCAGTTAGGTGATGGGAAACCTTCCCCAAATTCAATTTCGCAGATGCCAGCCAAGGGCCAACCTTGCAAACAGGCAAAGGAAGAGGGAGAGAGAGAATCTTAAGCAGGTTCCATGCCCAGTGAGGGGCTCGATCTCAGGACCTGAGATCATGACTTGAGTCCAAATCTAGAGCCTGATACTTAATGAACCGAGCCACCCAGGCGCCCCGCCAACAGGCCTTTCTAAGGCGAGGCCATTTGGGGCAGTTACTGAATTGACGTGACCATCATGATTTGGATGGTTGGGTTGCAGTTATGCAGGGGAGACGTAGAAAATACACACTAAAGAATTTTGCAGTGACGCTGGAGATGTACTCAATGTTTCAGGGGGAAAAAGCTTTGTGCCATACCTACAACTCCTCTGTTAAGTTTGAAATTGTTTCAAAATTAAAAAAAAAAGAATTTGTTTCAAAATAAAGCATATTAAAAAAACAGTATGGAAGAGGGGAGAATGGATGGGGATGTGGATTGAGGACTGGCCATAAGCTGACAAAGCTGTTGCTGGGGAATAGATACATGGTTATAACACTCTCCTCTCTGCTTCTGTATATATTTCAAATTCTCCATAACCAAATAAAACCAGCAAAAACCCTGTCAGCAAAGATGCCTTCTAAATGTGGTTATTTCTGGAAGGGGAGGGAAATTACATTGGGGGATACTATGTATTGGCCTTCTTGAATTTCTTCTATACACAAATACACACTCAGGAAATGAGAATTACAGATAAGCAAAATAAATACAAAATCACCACTACCAGAGATCACCATTGCAGTAACCCTGTAGTTATTATTATTTTTTAAAATTTTAAGTAAGCTCCACGCCCAACATGGGGCTTGAACTCATGACCCCGAGATCAAGAGTCACATGCTCTATGGACTGGAGCCAGCCAGGTGCCCCTCTAATATTCTTACTCTTCTGAATATATATATACATACAAACTTATATAAACACGCACATCTAGAAGGTAATCCAGGTTGTAAATAGTACGTGTGTGTGTGTAAAGTGGTATCATTAACTTTGGCATTCACACACACACACATATATACATGATATAACAAATGCCAAAATTAAACCATATGGCTGCTTTTTTTTTTTTTTTTTAAGGCAGCGGTCTCCACCTCTCTCTTCCTAGATGTTTCTCTTATTCTGCATATCCAGATTCCCCCAGTTAACCCAAAAATATCCTCTAGCGCTGAATTATCCAAACCAGTATCTACTTGAGGCCTACACACTCCCATCGGGTCATGACTCTTAGGTCTGTTTCAACCTGTCACAACTCCTTTTTTAAGAAACTGGCAAAACATGCCACCTCTGGGCGGGTCTGGCTGCTTTTTTGCCCGCCTTTCCCTTATATGGCGAGAAAGGGGTTGAAGGCCCGACACCTTCAAAGGATCAGTTCACACTGGAATAAAGTCAATGGCCCACTTCACGTTAGAAGGTCTAGGGGTGTCTGGCTGGCTTCATTGGTAGAGTGACTTTTGATCTCAGGGTGGGGAGTTCAAGCCCCCCACCAGGTGTAGAGATTACTTAAAAAATAAAATCATAACAACAAAAAAAGACGACCTAGAACATCTCCCTGACCCAGCACCAGTGAACTAGCCAAGGCCCTGGACTGATGTGAGGTTGGCTTGATCCAGGTTCCATCTGGAAAGTCACAAGTGTGGCGCACTGTGACACTGTACCCACATCCACTGTCTGCCTTGTGCTTTTGACCCTGACTGATGATCTTTGTCTGAATCGATGATTTCCTTAAGGCTTGGGAAAGAACACTGTTCTCACTCTTCCATTCTTTCTACTAAAACACCTCCTATTAGAATTTTCTTCTGTGCTGTCCCATCCTCCACTGGGACAGTTTGTTGCTTCAAACCAAGCAGTAATCAAGACAGTAACATCATATTCCTATTTCAAAAAACTAAGGCACTTTTGGGGCACCTGAGTGGCTCAGTCGGTTAAGCACCTGGCTTCGGCTTGGGGTCCTGTTCCCAGGGTCCTGAGATGGAGCCCCACGGCTGGCTCCCTGCTCAGCGGGGAGTCTGCTTCTCCTTCTCCCTCTGCTCCTCCCCCTGCTCGTGCTCTCTCTCTCTCTCAAATAAATAAATAAATAAATAAATAAATAAATAAATAAATAAATAAAATCTTTAAAAAAATGATAAAAGATCTGAGGCACTTTTGGCAAAATAATAAATTTATTGTGTATTATTGGCAGATTGTGTTGCTGATATATTATTCTCTCAATGTTTGCGGAAAGTCTCAAAATAAAAAATAATTTTATACACCATACAATCACAGGGGTCCTGGAGGATCTCCAAACACTTTCTGAGCTGTGAGGCCTGGTCCCAGCCTTGAGGCTGCGGGAGGTTGTTTGCCACCCAAGGTGGCTGGAATCTTCCCAGCCATAAGGACAAGATCGTACGTCAGAGGTGAGAGGCCTTCTCTAAAGGGACCAACCAAGCCCCTCAAAGCAGAAAGGACAGGAGACAGGACAGAGGGGATGGGGGCTGAACCAGAGGGCCTGGGCGGGGGGTGGGGTGAAGAGCCCTGTCTAGAACCGGCATTCCTCCATGCTCACCAACGGGGGAAGGGTTGCCCCATGACAGCAGTAGGCAGCTGTGAAGGAAGAACTTTCTTCTAGAAGTTTCCAGAACCCGAAGAGGGGGCCCAGCAGGACCCTCAGAGGGATCCTAGAGTACCTGGGATGCAGAGGAGGTACATGCCCTTGGTTAATGAGAAGTTCTGGCTGATGGTCCCCAGGTCCTGGAAGGCACCAGTCAGGTTGTTCTGCAAGGACAGCCCTCCACTAAGACAGCCGGGCCCGCACGACCACACTGGAATTGGTCACACGGGCTCCATAGTGACCAGCCCAGAACTGCGTGTCCTGGCCCCAGTGTTCGAAAGACACAAAGCGGACGCCCATCTTGAGGTTGGAGAACACGTGGGTGACCTGTAGGTAGAGAAGAGATCGGGCCTGTTGTGCCACAGCCTTCTGGTAGAGGGAATCACATGGTTCCTCATCCTAATTCCTGACCCCCCCACGTCTGGGTGGGTTTGTTTGTACCCAGGAGTGTGGCGGAAGTGATGCTAAGTGACTTGGCCAAGTGACTCCCAAAGCTTGGTCAGAAAAAGGCAATGCAGCTTCTGTTGGGTTTCTCTAGAACCTTCCCAGTGGAATCCTGAGCCACCAGTAAGTCGAGTCTGGCTGCCCTGAGGCAGCTGGGCTGTGAGGACATGCAAATCAGACCTAGCAGAGGGATCCCAGATGGAAGTAATTGAAACCACCAGCTGCTGTATGTACACATGCACACGTATATGTGCACGCGCGCGCACACACACACACACACACACACACACAACCACCCTGCCCTTTGGCTCCCTCCAGCCACTGTCTGAATGCAACCACCCAAGAGGAGAGGAGCCCAGAAGCACCCCCAGCAGAGCCCTGCTTATCGAAACCACAAGAGGTAAGAACTAAGGTTCACAAGCCCCACCACCCTCTCCCGTGACCCTGCCAGGGACCCACCTGAAAGCAGACATTGTTGTTCCACTGCTGGATGGGAACGGGCATGGCAGAGAATTTATCCAGGACAGTCTGGTTGGCATCTAGAAGCTGGACAAGGAGTCGGTACATACAGCCACTGTCGTGTCGGGCTCCCCACCTGTGGGAGGAGGGAGGCCGTCAGGGCTGGACAGGCCCACCTCATCTCTTCGGGTGTCTGCCTGCCTCCCCCAACCCCAAGCCCTCCCCACATCTGCAGATCCAAAATGGAGTCCTCCATTTAGCACAACCAGTGTCACCTGGGAGCTGGGCCCCACTGCAGACCCAATGACTCAGCCTGCAGTAAACGGGGTCCCCAGCGGGTCCGCAAGCACATGCATTTTCAAAGCAGTGACCCAGAGCAATGCCCCTTCAGGCTCCTCCTCTCGTATTATTAAGGTGACAATCGAAATCGCTCATTCTATGTTTAAACAGTGGCAAAAGATGGGATTTCCAATGTGTACGTTGAAAATACAACTTTTGGGACGCCTGGGTAGCTCAGTGGTTGAACCTCTGTCTCTGGCTCAGGGCATGATCCTGGGGTCCTGGGATCGAGTCCTGCATCAGGGTCCCTGCGTGGAGCCTGCTTCTCCCTCTGCCTGTGTCTCTGCCTCTCTCTGTGTGTCTCTTATGAATAAATAAATAAAATCTTGAAAAACAAAAAAGAAAATACGACTTTCACATCAGTCATTTAAAAGGACCACGGGAGGGCAGCCTGGGTGGCTCAGCGGTTTAGCGCCACCTTCGGTCCAAGGTGTGATCCTGGAGACCCGGGATCGAGTCCCACATCAGGTTCCCATCAGGCTCGGCTGGCTCAGTCAGTAGAGCGTGTGACTCTTGATCTCAGGGTTCTGAGTTCAAGACCCACATTGAGTTTAGAGATGACGTAAAAATAAAATCTTTTAAAAATAAATAAATGGACCACAGGAATCTGAATATATTTAGTCATGATGGGATACCCAGTAACATTAAAAAAAACCCCAACAACACAACATCCAATATCCATCAATGGTAAACGGATAAATTACAGTATATTCGCATAATAGATTAGTAAACAACAATGAAAGCAAACTCACTGGTTACATGCAATTGGGAACCAATTTACAAACATGTAGTTGGAAGAAGCCAGGAACAAAACATACACTGTGGGACTTTCTCTCTCTTAAGTACAAAAATGGACAGAACTTATCTATGGTAACAGAATTCAGGATGGCAGCTACCCTTGGGTGGTTAGTGATGGGAAAGGAGCTACACACCTAAAATATGTACACTTTATTATAATTATTTTAAAGATTTTTATTTATTCATGAGGGACACACAAAGAGAGGCAGAGACACAGGCAGAGGGAGAGTCAGGCTCCTTGCAGGGAGCCCGATGTGGGACTCGATCCCTGGACCCCGGATCACGACCTGAGCCGAAGGCAGAGATGCTCAACCACTGAGCCATCCAGGTGCCCCTAAAATATGTACACTTTAAATAGATAAATATGTAAACTTTTAAAACTATGTACACTTTTCAAGCTAGAAGTTAAAAGTTTAACTCAAGGGTAATGGGCTGCACAAATACACAAATAAGTTTCTTACTTCAGAGACTTCACATCGTTCTACTTCTAAGAATTAGACGTCTGCTCTACTTCTCCCACACAATTTTGTCCTCATGCAACAGTGACATATTTTAATTTTCTTCTGATCAGTCAAAAGACTGCCTTTCCATACTGTTCTGTGCCAACCACATACCAAAATATATACATATAAATAGAAATTAAATTTTTTTCCTGTGACCATAAAGCTCTAAGTGTTAACATTTTTCCTTTGGGATTGAATTATTACCCAGCAGTGGTTCTCAGACCTTGCTGCAGACTGGAATCATCTGGAATGCTGAGAAGATATTGTATAGGAAAGAATTTAGTCTGGTCTGGAGGTATGGATGGCCTTTGCTCTCAGCTTCTGGGACGTTATCTCTGGATCCTTGGAATATCGTGGCTGCCAGAAGTATCTTTGCTTGCCTGCGGACCTTGGGTCATACTGGATAGCCTACCAACGTGATTCCAGTGGGGGCTGACCACAGCCACACAGACAGTCTCACCGTGGGGGCTAGCCACTCCAGAAAGACCCAACAATGTGGCTTAGGATATGTCAGGCAATATCCATTGACCAGGAGTCTGAATTTAATCACGTGATGAAGCCCCAACAAAATTCTGGGAAACGAAGCTCAGGTGAGCTTCCCCGTTTGGCAATATTGTGTGTATATTATCAATTGGATGTCAGGATGGTAAATGCATCCTGACTCCATGGCGAGGGAACAACCGAAGTTCTGTTTGGTACTTCTGTGTGTGGACACTGCCCTAGCTCTTCTTTCCTTGGCTGATTTTATTTTTATATAATTTTTAAAAAAAGATTTTATATATTTATTCATGAGAGACAGAGAGAGAGGCAGAGGGAGAAGCAGCCTCCCCGTGGGGAGCCCGATGCGGGACTCGATCCCAGGACCCTGGGATCACGACCCGAGCTTAATTTAAGGCAGATGCTCAACCACTGAGCCACCCAGGTGCCCTGCCCGTGGCTGATTTATAAATGTTATGTTTTCCTTGTAATAATCTGTAATCATGTAATAGTTTAGTGAGTTCTGTGCATCTTTCCAGTGAATTATGGAAGCTGAGGGAGGTTTTGGGAATCCCCCAAACTTGCGGCTGCTGTTGAAGTGAGGATGGTGTGGGGATTGTGCCCTCTAACTCTGCAGCCAGCTCCAAACTTTTCCCAGATACTGAGACCCTGCTCCCACCCACAGGCACTCTGATTTAACTGGTATAGGGTCTGACCTGAGCATTGGAAGTTTTAAATGATCCTGCGTAACATACAGCAAAACACGGGGACCACTGATTATTATGATCAAATGGTACACTGCTGACCAAAACAACACCGATGTGTTACTCTAGTTTGATAACTGATGATTAAATTAAAAACTATTTTATTGTAAATGTATCTCCTAATGAGATGGATTTGCATGTTGCGGGTGGGGGGGGGATAGTTATGATGTCTTTAATTAAGAGTGAATTTGGGGGCACCTGGGTGGCTCAGTTAGGCGTCTGACCCTTGATTTTGGCTCAGGGAATGATCTCAGGGTCCTGGGATCAAGCCTCCCTGTTGGGCTCCGTGCTCAGCTGGGAGTCTTCTAGGATTCTCTCTCTCCCTTTCCAATGATCTCTCCCTGCCCCCTTAAATAAATAAATCTTTTTTTAAAAAAAGTGAATTTGGGGGTGCTTGTCTGTCTCAGTGGGTAGAGCTTGCAACTCTTAATCTCTGGGATGTGAGTTCAGGCCCCACATTGGGCATGTAGCCTACTTAAAAACAAAACAAAAATGCAAAATAAGAGCAAATTTGGTAAGGCTGAAATTTCAAGCGGTTACCTTGCCTGAATCTCCAGTAGTCTTTTTTTTTTTTTTTTTTTTAAGATTTTATTGATTCATGAGAGACACAGGCAGAGGGAGAAGCTAGCTCCCTGCAGGGAACCTGATGCAGGACTTGATTCCAGGACCCCAGGATCACCACCTGAGCCAAAGGCAGATGCTCAACCACTGAGCCACCCAGGCACCCTCTCCCATAGTCTTCACATCTGAGGGAGGAGGGCACACCCCATAGTGAGGACCTTGCTTTTTCTGTAAAACTGAAGGACTGTCAAGGGGAGTGGACGAGGACAACCATATGATGCCACCACCAGTGATGTTATGTGTAGCTGGTAATTTTAGAATCAGGGAACACAGCTGTAGAGGATCTGGAATCTCCTCACCAGAAATTATCTGGGTCACATATCCCTTGGAAACTCTTCACGTCCGCATACCCCAGTTTCAAGACCGTCGCTACAGACCATAAGCTCTGGAGTCAAAGGAGTCTGAGCCTAATGCCAGGTCTCACCAAGTCCTAGCTGTGCCACCAGAACAAAGCACCTCCCCTTTCTGAACCCCTCAATTGCTCCCGAAGCTCTGAACAATCTGAGGTTTTGAAACACACATCCTTGGAGGATCAAGGCTCAAAAAACCAAACCAACCCACCGAAACAGTTCACACTTCCAGAGCGCTGGCTATGTGCTTGACATGTAACCCTATCTTGTAAAGATGGGGAAACTGAGGCACAGGGGGACTTGCCCAGAGCCACAAAGCTGCAGAGCCAGGGACTTTGGGAAGCCTGGCTCCAGAATGCAAACTTAGCTAAACTACCCTACACCGCCTCCTCCTAAGGCAAGGCGCATGTGGTCCACAGACAAGACTGAGCTGCTCAGAGTCTTCTGTAATTGGGGCCAATCTGGCATCTTGCAATCCAGGTCCATCTGGGGGCGAGGGGAGCGGTTCAGTGGGTAAACCTGTCACCTCCCGGAGGAACTGGGGAGGGGAGCGGCCTCGGGGAAGTCACTCACGAGAGGGTCACGGCGCATGGGGTCAATGGGGTCAGTGCTGAGCAAGGGGCTGCTACTGTCATCATACTCACCAGTCGGAGACGCAAATCTCAATCTTGCCACTATCCAGCAGCTCCGGCCACAGACCCTCCTCCTCCAGATCCAAGACCTGCTTTTTGCGACACCAGCTAGGAAGGAGGGAGAAAGGGCAATGACAAGAGACAGGTCTAACGGACGACGGCCCGGCCCCTGCGGGGAGGGGGCGACTGGCGGGGTTAGGGGCATTCACCTGAAGGATGACACGAAGCAGGTCTGCGAGGGGGCCCCAGGCACCGTGGACCTGTTCACCTCCACCACCCAGCCGTCCCCGCCGTGCTGCACCATCCATTTCCGGAGGCCTTCTGTTAAATACGCAGGCTCAGGCCCGAGCTCGCCGCCCGCGCACCGGCCGGCGGCCACCTGCTCCCCCTCCCTCGCCGCCTCCTCCGCGCCCGGCCCCCGGCTGCGGGGAGGCCCCGCCCCGGCTGCGGGAGGCCCCGCCCCCGCCCGCGGGCAGGCCCCGCCCCCCGGCTGCCCGGCCGCCAGCCCCCCAGCCCGCGCTCCCCACCCTGGCCGCAGGGGTTGCGGATGAGGTTGCGTCCGATCGGCCGGCGCTCGCAGAAGCGGCCCAGGAGGCAGGGCCTGCCGTCGCGGGCGGGGGGCAGGCAGCTGCGGGCGAGCGGCAGCAGGGCGCCGTGGTCGCGGGCCAGGATGAGCAGCCACAGGGCCTGGCCGTCCACCAGGGCGCGCCAGCCCCGGCACACCCGGCGGCAGCACCCCAGCAGCGTGCGCGGGGGCACGTGGCTCAGCACCACCAGGAGCAGCTCGGGCGGCAGTTGGCTCAGGTCCAGCGCCTCCTCGGGGTCGGGCTCCGGCGCGGGGACCCGGGCTGGCCGGCCCCGGGAAGCCGAGGCGCCCATGGTCCCCGCCCCCCGGCCCGCGCCGGGCCCGGCGGTGACTGCGGGAGAGCGAGGTCAAGGAGTCAGGGGCCCGCAGCCTCCGCGGCGCGCGCAGCTTCCGCCGGCCCCGCCCCGGCCTGCGGCACCCAGGGGCCGCCCGCCGCCTCCGTCGGCCCCGCCACGCCCCGGCTCGCGCCCCGGGCCCGGGCCCCGGACCCCCAGCCTCCCCGCGCCGCCCTGCCCCGCAGCCGATGCCCCCGCGCCGCGCGCCGCAGCCGGCCCGCCGGCCCCCGAGTCCTACACCCGGGACCAGAGTCGGGGCTCGTCGCCGGCGGGCCCTCCGCTGTCCCCGCGCGCCCCGCTCACCTCCTCCATCCTTTCACTCGCCGGCCCCTCCCTCCCCAACAGCCCGCCGCCTCCCGCCCGCTCCCCTTCCCCGCTCGGGCCGGCCCCGCGCTCTCCTCCCTCGGGCGCCCCCGCCCCCGCCCCCGCCCCCGCCCCGTCCCGGTACTCGCCAGACCCCCTCCTTCCCGGGATTCCCACGGTGGGCCGGGGCGGCGGGGCGGGACTCTCGAACCGGGCCTGACGCCGCAGACGCGGGAGGGGCGGGGGCCGCGGGGATCCAGGGGCCTCGGCCGGGCCGCCTCCCCGAGCGCCCCTAACCCGGCCGCCGGCCGCCTGGCGAGGAACCCCTGCCGTTATTTTGGGCAGGCATCCGGGAGGGAGGCCTCACACCCATTCGCTCCTTTAAAAATCCCCATCACCTTGAGAGCGGGGGGCAGCGTTATCCGTTGTCCCCAGTTCACCGCAGAAAACAGGTGGGGTAGGAGCCAGACGCATATGCATTTGACTCCAAAAACGAGTGCTCTGACCAGAAATGACACCGACCAACCTTTACAGAGCGTTTTCCTGCCAATCAGGGGGGCAACCCCCTGAGGTAGGTACTGCTGTGTGCCCCCTTCACAGGTGAGAAAACAGAGGCCGGCAGAGGCCAAGTGACTTGGCCCAGGGTCACACAGCTGGTAGGTGACAGAGCTGGGATTTGACTCCAGCCAGGCTGGCTCTAGAGTCCCTGCTATACTAACCCTATACGAACTCTACCCGGTAAAAACAAAATTAAGCCACGCACGTAATTATAAACACCAGCAAATAAAACCAGACATGGATCCTTGGCCACGTGGAACTTACAGGAGGAACAGAAGACATAATAAGCAAATTATAGAGTGTTGGGGAAACAGTTAAAAGTCAAATCTCTTGCCAACCCCGGAAAACCTCTCGGTAAACAGAAAAGAATGGAGCAGTTTTATTATTAAGCATTAAACCAGATGACAATGCGCATGGGCCGTGATGAACGAGAGACGTGACGTGAAAATTAGTGTGTTAGAAGGTAATTAATACTGTGGAAGAGGGATCCCTGGGTGGCTCAGCGGTTTAGCCCCTGCCTTCCACCCAGGGCATGATCCTGGAGACCTGGGATCGAGTCCCACGTGGGGCTCTCTGCGTGGAGCCTGCTTCTCCCTCTGCCTGTGTCTCTGCCTCTCTCTGTATCTCTCATGAATAAATAAAATCTTTTAAAAAATACTATGGAAAAATAGACTAGGAAGGGGACTAAGGCACAAGCAGTCTGGGTGGGAGACCCTTGATTCTGAAAGATGGATGGGATATTACACTGGCCCATTTCTCTTCAATACATAACATTTTCTGTAAACTTTTGACATTTTCAAACCTATCCAAAAGTGGAACAGTGTAAGGAGCACCCAGCTTTCCGATTACCTCCTGGCCAGTCCTGGTTTCGTCTCCACTCCCACCCACTTTGCTCCCCTGGAAAATTTGAAGTCAATCTTAGACATCACCCTTTTCTGTCCATAATGAAAAGTATTTTTTCATATAATAGGTAAATCTGTGGGAATCTTTTTGGTAATGGGGTTATGAAATTGGTTATGATCCAAGTATATAAGTTTGGAAGAGTTTTTTCTTTTTTTCTTTTTTACCATATCATTATTTTTAATGTCCAACGTTTATAATAGGAGGGCCAGGGCTTTCTCCCCAACTCAAGTTTATAAACTTTCGATTGGCTTGTGAGGCCAATAGGGATACTTCTTCTTGTCTAATTTGGTTTCTGGGAAGACTTCCTTCAAGTCCTCAGTGGTCAGCTGATCAAATGGGATTATGTTCTTCATCTTCTCCAGCTCTTTTTCATATTCTTCAATCCTGGCCTTTGAGAGAGACAAAAACTCAGCACAGCTTTTCACATCTTCTTTTTCCTCAGCATCCACCTGGACAGTGTATTTATCCTCTGGCACAGGAACCTTCAGGGCATTCAACTTCTTCCCAAAGTCATCTGCCAAGCCAGCCTTTGCCACATTGGCCTTGGAGTAAGCCCAGTTGATAGCAGGTGGTTTCTCAGGAAGAGTAGCCACCTGGAGGTAAGCATCTCATCCCAGGATTTCAGGGAGTTGGCAATGGCCTTCTGGTTTGGGGGTATGATCTCCCCAAAAGCTACCCAGTCAATGGTTTTTAGAGCAAGTTTTCGCCCAGCCATCTGGAGATCCTTCACCGACCCCGGTGGCCCGCAGTCCACAGCAGCAAGGGCGGAAGAGTTTTTTTTTTAAGGTTAAAAAACAGTTCAAGAACTTAAAGTAGGATAAAAGGGCAACACGGGCAAGTCAGATTCCTTCCCATTCCTCAATTCTCAGAGGTAATCCCCAAACTCCTGGAATTAGAGCCCCAGCTGTACTCTGAGTAAAAAGAAAAACAAATAGGGTTGTCCAGCTGGCTCTGGCGATGAAGCGTGTTGACTCTTGATCTCGGGGTTGTGAGTTTGAGCCCCACGCTGGGTGTAGAGATTACTTAAAATCTGAGCACCTGGGTGGCTCAGTTGGTGAAGCATCTAGATGCCTTCGGCTCAGGGCATGATCCCAGGGTCCTGGAATCGAGTCCCACATCTACTCCCTGCTCCCTGCTGGAGCTTGCTTCTACCTGCCACCCCCCCTCTAATAAATACATAAATAAATAAACAAACAAACAAATAAATAAAATCTTTAAAATAAAATGAAATCTTAAATAAACAAATATAAATGGATTCAAGAAGTGCCCACCACCTAGAAGGTAATGAACAGAATAATGGCTCCCAGGAGGGGGGTAGTGTGCAAAGCACCCCAGGAGCCCTTTGGGAAAGTTATGAGAGCGTTTTTTTGGGTAACAAGAATGGCCCGAAGGGTGTCACTGGGGAGCCTTGCACGGGACAATGCCACTCAGCAGAGAACAGTCCCGGATTCCTTCTCATAATCCAGGTCCTGTGCGTTCTCATGTAGGAGGAGGAAAGCCCGTTAATCTGAACCTAGAACCCAGTTCCATTCTGCATGTCAGTGTAAAGTGTGTTAACACCGGATTGTCCACAATGTGGCTAGCAGGTCAGTCGGAAGATTGTACTGGGCTTGGTGGGGACTTGTCAGGTTCTCCAATTCACAAAACCAGAAAACCTCTTCATCTAGGCAGGGCCAGTTGGGGGGTTCATGGAGCTTCGGGGATCCCAGGGAGAGGGAGGAGTATCCTGGGGCTACAGCAGATTTTCCGGGGGGATTTTTAAAGACTGGGACTGTGAATCATCAGGTCTGCAGGTGTAACAAGTTCCCAGGGGGTTTTGAAAATTACGCCTCTCTTTTTGTCTCACCTTCATATTATAGTTAGGGTTCTCTTATTAACATTTTAAGAGTTATCTGTGGAGGTCGGTTTCACTGTCTAAGCATTTCGTTTCAAAATAGGAAAGGCGGCTTGAGAAATTATGTTGGCTCTGGTGGGGATGGGGTGGGAAGGGCTCCCCAGTGGGGGAGACACCGGTGCTTCTCTCTCCATCAGAGGTGTTTGGGAGGTGGGTGGCAGGGGGGTACCTGCCTGGCCAGCTTGCAGAAGGAGAAACTCTGAAACCTTGGGGTGTTGGGAGGTAGGCTGCGAGATTAATTCCAAGGGCATTGAAAGGTCACTAGCTTGGCTTCCTTGCCCCCACCTCTCCTGGCCAGAGGCCACTGGCTGTATTTTGATCCCAGGGAAAGAAACTTGACAGCAAATAGGCCCTTTGTATGGAGGGAAGGTCGGAGGGAGCGGGTCACTAGTCAAACCTTCACTCTCAGGGCCTGGGGAGGTATCTGGACTGAGGCCAGCTCCCAGGGGCTTGACTGCAGTGAGGACAGCTCAGTGGGGCATAATCCGGTCCCTTTCTTAAGGTGATTCAGCCCTCCCTGGAATGCCCATCTTTCCCTAGGGCACGGGAGAAGCAGGATGTCATCGTAAAACCCCCCAGGCTCTCCACCCCACCCAGCTCCTGGGGGGGGTGTAAACAACACCTCCAGTCATAAACAAAAGAGCCACAGAACCCACCAACCTTCTTCGCTCTGAGAAGTAATTCCTCCCAGCTGAAACCACACTTAGATAGAATCAAGTCCTTAAGAACAGTTGGACTGGAGCCAGCTTTCAAGGTTAAACACAGCGACCAAATAAGAGGCTTTAAAGAATCAAAATACCAGCCTACCTGGAGGGAGACACGTCTAGCAGCCTTTGAAAAGAAATAGGGCCAGGCAACCAAGGGGCCTGTGTATGGGTGTGTGTGTGTGTGTGTGTGTGTGTGTGTGAGTTGTGGGGGAGGACCCAGAGGAGCCGGAGGGTGAGGGGGGGCTGCCTCTGCCCAAAGGAATCCACCCTTGTCTGCAGCCTGCGGGACTGTCTAGCTGGAATATTCCAAAATAACAGATCAAATGAACATTCAAGTATGACAGGGTATTGTGGTTTTGCTAAAAAAGGAGACAGGGAGAGGGAGAGAAAACCTTATCTTTTAGGTATACACCCTGGAAGTATTTTTGGAGGAAATGATATAATGTCTGGGATTGTTTTAAAACAATCCAGTGGGAGGGGTGCCTGGGTGGCTCAGTTGGTTAAGGGTTTGCCTTCCACTCAGGTCAGGATCCCAGGGTCCTGGGATCGAGCCCTGCATCGGGCTCCCTGCTCAGTGCTTGCTCTCTTTCTCGCATAAATAAATAAATAAATAAATAAATAAATAAATAAATAAATAAATAAATAAATAAAATGAATCTTTAAAAAAGGAAAAGAAAAG